TCGATCTGCGCACGCAAGGAGGTGCTATTTCTATTCTTCTTCTGGAAAAACGAAAGAGAGCTTCAAAACAGACTGCAGCGCCATCTGAAGCAAAGAGCATACTTCCTGCGGACACTTTTTTGGCTGAGTGGCCCATCTTGTTATTTACTATCTTTGGTTCTATGCAAGAAATGAGAACGTCAGACTTTAAAATCGTTTTTTGTTCTTCTCAAAAGTGAAAAAAATTACGTTATCCCTTTTTCCTTTGCCCATTTAGTTTTTGATTGGACGAGACAGAAAGGTTTGTAGGGCATTAATGGTGTTGTCTGTTGCATTTTGTTTCATAGGTAATCCCTTGCATCTCAATAAGGTCAAATGAGAGATATTACATGTAGTAGTGCAGCTATGAGATCACCAGGTGGCCACGGGACTCCTATGTGCCCCTTGCAACTGGAATGACCGTTAGTTAAGATTTACATCCCTTGCAACACAGTAAGGTTATTTGAGAGACGCCCTCTCAAATTTCAACATCAGTCTGCCATAGAACATTGACTTCATGTGAGTCAGGTATCAAAGCCCATTGAACCTCTGAAAAAATGTGGGGTTGGTTTTTTTCATATCGTCTCCTGGGGGGGATTTGAGTCAAGGAGGACCTTCTGCTCTGCAGGCGAGTGACTTAGAGCCATGAAACTAGACTAGATTATGGAGATTTAGAACCTAATATGGAGAGAAAACATTTGTACTTTGAGGCATTCCCTTCAATTTTTCAGAAAACTGGGTTTTAAAAAAAATACAAAAACTGTTTCTCAATTCCAAAGGAAAACAGCAATCTGTGAAAACTTTAAAAGTTGAAACATTGATTATACACACAAACAATGGGCAACAGCTAGATGAATGAGTTGGTGACTGATTTGAATCTGGAGCCATCTCAAACTTTGAAGGCTTATTTCTCAAAACCCGAGTGCGTGGACATACGACAGTTGTACTCTGGGCCGACGATCAGTTGTGTTGCAAGCGCCGTAAAACTCTGACCAAAATCAATGCTAACAATGTGTGAGTAAAACTTTTAAGAGTTGTC